CTAGGGCTTTCTATAAACTCCCATGAAGAGGATGTTTTCACTCGAGTTGTCACGAATGAAGTAGAAAAACGGACGATCGCAAATGAAATATTTGACGTCCTCTAAACCCGACGACCTTCCAGACACTAGGGCTGTGGCGGCCGCTGCTTCTGCGCCTTCTTCGTTCACTTCGATGACCGCCTTGTGGACGCCGTTGGTGACCCTCAGACCTCCAGCAGGGGAGAAGCCCGTCAGGTCAGCCTCCGGGGAAAAGAGGTCGTGAACGCCCATGCGGGTCAGAGCCTGCGGAGGGGAGGGTTAAAATAAAGTCGAAGAGAACGAAATAAAGTAAAAGAAAAAACATTAACGAAACATAACAAAACAAATAACAAGACGAAAATAAACGAAATTGAATATAGGAATCAAGAGAGAATGAAAGAAATGAAATCAAATTATGAATCGAAACGAAACGAAGCGAAAAAATAAAACAAACAACCTAAATGGAGGAAACATTTTACTACCATTTTCAAACTGTCCCGAAGCGTGGACTCCGACTTGAACTTGGGAATTTGAACGACAACATGTTCTGTGTTTAGCTCGTCCTTCATGGCAGCTTCGAGGATCTCTGGGGTGATTCCCTTCACCAGGTCGTCCACCTCATGCCCAGTTTCCATGTCCTTCGGCAGAAATATGTACATAGAGGCGCTTTTCCCTCGATAGTGCATCTCCAGGACCTTGGCGTTGAGGGCCGTTGACTCGCCTGTGGTAAAAAAAAAAAAAAAAAAAAAAAATAGAAATAAAAATAAAACAAAATAAATAAATAACATTCAATTTTGAATAGATAAAATAAGTCTTGAATTTAAATAAATAATTAAATAACATTTGAATTTAAATAAATAAATAAATAACAGTTGAATTTAAATAAACATAAATAACAGTTGAATTTAAATAAATAAATAAACATTTGAATTTAAATAAACAAGGTGTTTAGTTGTGTTTGTTTATATTGACCTTATTGTTATTGGTTCATTTGTGAAATCTGGATTTATTGATATATACATTTTATTTTTCGTCGAGGTGCATGATTATGTATATATTAATTTTATTTCTATTAGTTGATTTACGCAGGTCATTAGTGATGTTTTTTTTTGTTTGATAATTTTTATATTATCTATGAATTTATCCTACTTTACTATATTTTCTTATTATACGTAGAAGAAAAAAAATCTTATTTTCCTTTGATTTAATCAGTTATTTTAATTATATCTGCATGATAAAATGAAAAAATAAGTTACTGATAAAGAGGCAAAAGCAGAATCTATTTTTCTTTACTTTTATTTATCTCTATATATTCCCCCCCCCCCCCTATTTCTACCATTTAGCTTTACTATAATCCAGAAAACAAATATATTTAAGAAAACAAAATTCAAAATGATTCAGACTAAAAACTGAATAAAAATAAAAATGTATCGTTACCAAAAAAAAAAAAGATAAATAAAAAATAGATAAATAACAAAATAAAATAAAAGGTTTTTTATAGTCTGATTACAAAGAAATAAACAAGGAAATAAACAACTAAATAAACAAGGAATTAAACAACAAATTAAACAAAGAAATAAACAACAAAAACATACAGAGAATTAAACAAAACAAAAAAAGAAATAAACAATAAACATATAAATCCAAACAAACCAAACGCAAAAACACAAACAAACAAACATCCTACCATAACGAAATCGCTCAGCCTGCACCATCATTTCCACGAATTCGTGCCTGTCTGGAGTGACGAAAAACTTCCCCTTCTCGGTATTTTCAGCCATAAACTGGTGCTCCCAAAATCCCTTGAAGTAAACAGCATTTACGAACGCCATTTCCGATTTTGTGACGTCACTCGGATCTACGAGCTGTGGGATCATTCCGTGCGTGGCGAGGTCGACGTACTTGTTGATGGCTGCAGCGGCCATGTCGGCCTTGAGGGGGGGGGGGGGGGTTATTGGTGTTATTATTAATTATCAATTTTGTTATCATCATCTTCATTATTATTATTTTTATTATGATTAGCATCATTGCTGTTATCATTATTATTATCATTATTATTATTATTATTATTATCATCATTTTCATAAATTTCATCATCATTATCATTACTATTATCATCATTACCATTATCATCGTTACTATTATTATTATTATTATTATCATTGTTATTATTATTATTATCATTATTATCACTATCACTATCATTCTCATTTTTATTATCATCCTTATTATTTTCATCACCATCTTTCTAATCATTACTATCATTACTAGTATTACCATTAATATTATAATTATTATAATTATCATTAGTAGTAGTAGTAATAGTAGAAGTAGTAGTATCGTCATCATCATGATTATCATCATTGTCACAACAAAATTAATAACAATAATAATACCAATACAAATAACAACAGCAGTAATAATACAAATCAACAACAACAATACGAATCAATAAAAAAAAAACATTACCAACAACAACAAT